GTGGGGCGGCGGCACCGCTCGGTGCCGGCGGAGAGCGGGGAAGGGCGGGGGGACTGTGGGGTTGCGCAGGGGCCGCTGGGCCTCGCTCGGCGGAGCTCGCCCCCCACGCGGTTCCCGGGGCACGGGCAGGGCGGGGCGGGGCGGGGCGGTCCTACCCTTCCTCCGGCGGGGGGGCGGGCTCAGSCGACAAGATGGCGGCGGCGCTGAGGGCGGCCCGGCCTTGGGGGCTGGCGGGGACAGTGCCCGGGCTCGGTGAGCGGCGGTGGCGAGGCGAGAGCCCGTTCGGGGCTGGCGAGTGGGCTCTGGCCCGCCCTGGCCCGGCCCGGCCCGCTGAGCCAGGGCCGTGGGAGCTCTGCTGTCTGTGCAGGCGGCGGTACCGGCGTCCCCGGGAGTAGAACAAGCCGCGGTGGCAGCTTCTCTTTATCAAAGCTCTTTCGTTTTGTTTTATTTGCTTTATTTTTTTTTTTTGTTTAGGTTTTTTTTGTTGTTATTGGGGTTTTTTTTAAAGTTGGTGTTGCTTCCAGGCCTTGGTGAGGGCTCGCCGCGATGGTGATGCCGGCCCTTCCCAGGAAGGCTGTGCCCGGAGCGACCTTGGTTAGGCGGGAGATGGGAGGTGGGGAAGGCCTGGGGACTTTAGGCAGGGGATAGTGAAAGGTACCCTTACAGAGCAAAAGATGCGGGAGGGGATAGTTATTGTGGCTGAGGAAGGGGCAAAAGGCACTGTGCGTTGTTGGCAGCCCCCCCGTCCCCCCTCTCWCGGATCAGGGAGCGCATGCTGCAGTGTTACCTGCGAATGGATCGGCTATAACAATGTTATGGAGACCACTCTATCATCGAATTCATTTGGGGTTTGTGTTGTGGTTTGGGTTTTTTCTGTGATTGCATGAATGTCAGTARCTACTTGGTGGTATAAACCTGTGGAATGTTAATGCATTTGTAATCTTCTGCCTTTTTAGCTTTTACTCGTTCTGCATTTGCTGTGCAAAAAGTGAGTCATGCCCAACCAAACTGGCTGAGAGTTGGCTTGGCATTCGGCACCAGTGCTGTCTTGTGGGCTTCTGTAAGTGTTTTTATTTGGTTTAGTTGAACTTAACTATTCCTGAAAAATCTTAAYAGTGATGTGAAACTCGTGACTACAGCTACTGAGTTTATTGGGGTAATGGGTGGTCATAGCAGGTGTCAAGATTGAAGCATGATTATGTTCATTACTTATGTATTCACAGCTTTATGTTGTGCTCTTATTTTAAAAAATGAACAGCTTKTTAAGCTGTTAACAGCTTCTCTCTGTTGCAAACTTTAAAAAAACCCCAACAGAATTAATTCTTCAAGCCTTAAGGTTAATGCTTTGACATTATTTCCCCCTTGGATCGTAACGAAAAAAAGAAGACCTCGGGATATGCCCCGATGATGTTGTGTTTATCAGACTGCCAATGCATTCTCTTCTTATTTTTCAGCTGATTAAGGTGGGTTTAGCTGATTTCAATAGATTAAGACCCCTTTTTCCTGAGCAAAGTGCAGATGTAAGATATTCTGTCTTTCAGAGAACTTGCCGACTTGATGTTGTTAGAGCAAGCAGGGTGTAGTAGCTTTCATCATCACTCAGGATAAGCAGTGCTCCCCATGGTGACAGTTTTTTCAGGATGGGATGGATTCCCTTTGGAGTTTTTGCCTTTTGGGGGTTGGTGAATCAACACTGGAAGTCCTCCCAGTTGGTCAGGAGAAAATGTTTGTCCTATGAGGCATTGTTCCCACACCTTTTTCAGTTGATAATTTATGTATTATGTTCTGGATGGTCCTAGTTACATACTGGTTTGCATTCTGATCATAGGAATTTTATATTTTGTAGAATTTTTGTTATCTGGATGTAGCTGTGAATTGTATAGCTGTTAATCATGTACTGCTATTTTGTAGCTTCTCARGCAGCATAATGCAGATGTAAAGGAATACGAAAGAAGAAAACAAGAGAGAGGACATAAGTGTGCAGGATGTTCATAGTAAGTTTGCACATACAGATGCTTTTGACTTAGTGAGGATCTTTGATATCTTTTAGGAATCAAGATACTGAACAGACTTACATTCTTCTCTTATTATTTTCCTTAATATTTTGCATCTTGGCTTTTGCTATTCTTTTAATTCATTCCCATCTTTAAAATGATAAGGKGACTGATCTGTATTTTCATATATTCATTTGTGTGTGTATTCCTTCTCAGTTTTCTATCTTGGACATGCAAACTTCTGGAAAAGAAACACATCTCACAGAGTCTATAATAAATAAAGGTTGCATAATGAATACCTTATAAATATCTCAGTGGCAGGGAAACAACAGTGACTAAAAATAGTTTATCTTTTCATCTTGTTTTCTATATTAACATGTATACAGTGGGGTATGTTTTTTTCTCTGTTTCACCTTTATGTTACACATAAAATGATGTAAAGTCAATGTCTGTTGATGTGCACTATAGGGCTWATTGTATGTGGTCGTGGTCCTTTTCAGGGTGAAAAAAAGAAAATTGTGTTTCTGCCACSTAAGAAATTTTTAGAGATTATTGCCTCAGAGCACTTAACGTGCCACATGAAAAAAATCCTTACACTAGAGAAAAACTTGTGGTGCTGTTGTTATTTTTCCCCATAAACATTCCTTTCCACATAAAAGTGCAGGATATTATATTTCTAACCACTGTCATCACATCTGTTTTTCTTATTGCTTAGAATTTTTTCTCTTCTTTCTTAGGCTGATGATATGCCCACAAGAGGTAACATGATGACCAGTTGTCCTACAAATGAATGAGCCCAGAAGAAGTAAAAAGTTAGCTAATTGCTTGTATGTTCATACATTTCATGTGCATAATTGTAAAATAAAGTCTAGAAGAAACTTGAAAAGATGTGGCCATTAATATTTCATTCTGCAGGTCTTGAAAATGTTTTATGTGGCATTTCCATTTTGGTTTCAGTCTTGTTTTCAAAACTCTTTGCTGTTCTGGAAGGTATATTACAAAATTAGACATCAGTTCAGAGGAAGTTCAGTAAATATTCTGGCAGTGTATTCTAGCTCTGCCACCATTTTCACTGCTAAATTTATGAAATAAGCAAATAAAAGAATGGGAGCTGTACAAATGCTAAAATGAGCATTTTCCTGTGAGCATTTTGGGTATTGACCATGCCTGAAAGGTGCCCACAGTGGTGAGATTGCAGAGCCAATGTCAGTCTTGGGTGTGAGCACTGCCTTCCAAACACGTCTGCCCTCTCTTCTTGCATCAAGGTCAGTCAAGGACAAAGGCTGGAAAAATCGCATCATGGCAGTCAGCAGAACATAGCATTCGATAATTGAGGGAACAACGAAGCTCTCTATAGAGAAAGGAAGAGAAACAAGGCAACTGCTTAATAATGTAGGGAGGCCAAGGACAGCAGCACAGCTTTGACCTGGAGATGCCCATGACTGGGACAATTGCCGTGATCCCAGGGCAGCGATTCACTTCGAGTTTTTCACTACCAACACCAAAC